TTAGGTCACCAAATAAATCGCAATAAATTTAACAAGACTGAAATGTCATTCATCTTTTCCAACCACCACAGTATGAAACCAGAAATCAATTACTGGGGTGAGGTGGGAGGAACAAAAACTATAAACAAATGGAGGCTAAACAACATTCTATTAAAAAAATCAGGAAGTCAACAAGAAAACCAAAGATAAAATAAAAAAATACATTAAGAAAACTGAAAATACAATGGTCCAAAGTCTTTGTGACATAGCAAAAGCAGTTCTAAGAGGGAAATTTATAGGGATATAGTCCTACCTCAGGAATCAGAAAAATCTCAAATAAACACTATAACCCTAGGCATAAAGGAGCTAAAAAAAAAAAAAAAAAAAGCCCAAAGTTAGTAGAAGGAAAAAAATGATAAAGATCAGATAGAAATAATTGGAGACTTAAAACAGAAAAGATCACTGAAAACAATAGCTGATTCTTTGAATAGATCGACAGAATAGGTAAACCTTAGCCAGAGTCATGAAAGAAAAAGAAAAGAGACAAAAAGGCCCTTACATAATGTTAAAGAGACCAATCCAACAAGAAAATATAACAATTTTAAATATCTATGCACCCAACCCTGGAGCACCTAAATACATAAAAGCAAATGTTAACAGACATAAAGAAATTGACAGTTATGGTAATAGCAAGGAAATTTAATACCCCACTTACACCAGTGGAATACATCATCTAGACAGAAAATCAATAAGCAAATGTGAATATTGCCTTAAATGATATAAAAATAGACATATATAGAACATTTCATCTAAAAACAGAATACACATTTTTTTCAAGTGCACATACTGCTCCCTTCTGTCTACAAAGTTGGAATCCTACTATTTCCACTATTAACATTTTACTAGAGATATTAGCCAATGCAATGAGACAAGAAGTGGATCACCTAAAGGCAAAAGCCTTGGAAAAGAAGCTAAGCTACATTTGTAGTTGATCTGGTATACTAAAAAATGCTACGGAATGTATGATGAAACGGAAACAATAACCAGGGAAAAAGATATAAAATTGACATATACATATTGTCATCAACACAATAACCAATTATGGTAGCATACAAAGAAAGAAGTTTAAGTATTTAGTAGTAACCCTATGGGAGAAATTTTTAAAATTCTGAAAGATATAAAAGTAGACGAACAAATGAAGAGACATTCCTTGTTCTGGTTGTTGAGTTAACATCATAAAAACAGTTCTTCGTGAGGTAGTTTGTAAATTTAAAGCAATCTTTAAAAAGTTTTCTTAATGTTTATTTTTGAGAGAGAGAGAGAGCGAGCACGCATGTGAGTGCAATTGGAAGGGGTAGAGACAGAGACCCAGAATCTGAAGGGGCTTCAGGCTCCCAGCTGTCAGCACAGAGCCCGATGCAGGCCTTGAAACTCATGAACCGTGAAATCATGACCCGAGCTGAAGTCAGGTGCTTAATCAGACTGAGCCACCCAGGTGCCCCTGAAACAAAAATTTTAAAATACATCTAGACAAGTTCATAGAAAAGTTCATAGGGATTCACTTCAACTTGTTTTTAAATTAGACTGATTTAAAAAGAAGACTAAAAGGGTGCCTGGGTGGCTCAGTTGGTTGAGCATCTGACTTAGGCTCAGGTCATGATCTTGCAGTTCATGGGTTTGAGCCCCTTGTCAGGCTGTGTGCAGATAGCTCAGAGCCTGGATCCTGCTTCAGATTCTGTTTCCCTCTCTTTCTTCCCTTACCTGCTCGTGCTTGTGTGCATGCTCTCTCTCAAAAATAAATAAACATTAAAAAAATTTTTTTAATTAAAAAAAAAAACCCCTAAAGTTTCCCTTAGTTTAAGAAAAAGATGTTCATATGAATAAGAATAACTAGGAATATACTACCAAAGAAAGACTATGGCCATATCCCATATTAAAGCATACTGTAATTAAAACAGTGTGGTGCTGTTCCATAAACCAGTGGGACAGAATAGAAAATCTAGAAGTAGATCCAAGTACATATAGAATGTAGATAATACGGTAAGACTATCTCAAATTCTAGGAGCAAAGATTAGCTTTTTAAACTTTTTTTTTTTTTTTTTAAGTTAGAGGAAGAGAGAGAGAAGAAAAAAAAAAAGAGCCAGGGAGGGGCAGAGAGGGAGAGACAGAATCCCAGGCAGGCTCCATGCCATCAGAGCAGAGCCCAATGCGGGGCTCAAAGTCACAAACCAGGAGATGATGACCTGAGCAGAGATCAAGAGTAGGACACTCAACCAACTGAGCCACCCAGGAACCCCAAAGATTCGTTTTTTAATAAATGGTGGTGAACAACTAGGTAGCTAGCTGGTTAGAAAAATATAAAATTAGATTTGTACTTTATATCATACACAAAAATGAACTACAGATAGATCAGAGAACTAAATATAATAAGTGAAATTCATGTAAGCATTAAAAGAATGTGTAGATGGATTTCCTTAACTTCAGGGGAAGGTAACGAAAGGATTTTGAATATGACTCAAAATCCAGTTTCAGTTTTGTTTAAAAAAAAGTGGTAAGTGTGACTGTGTAAAGAATTTAAAAATCTAGGGGCGCCTGGGTGGCATAGTCGGTTAAGCGTCCGACTTCAGCCAGGTCACGATCTCGCACTCCGTGAGTTCGAGCCCCGCGTCAGGCTCTGGGCTGATGGCTCAGAGCCTGGAGCCTGTTTCCGATTCTGTGTCTCCCTCTCTCTCTGCCCCTCCCCCGTTCATGCTCTGTCTCTCTCTGTCCCAAAAATAAATAAACGTTGAAAAAAAAAATTTTTTTAAAAAAAGAATTTAAAAATCTATAAAGAAAGTTAAAAGACAACCAAGTAGGAGGAAATATTTGCAGTGTACATCACAAATAAAAGATAATATCCCTAATATGTTTTTAAAAACCTCTTAAAAATTGAGGAAATAAAGACCAAAATTGATAGAAAAAAAGGCAAGAAACATGGATAGCTCACAAAAATGTATATAAAATAGACCTTAAACATATGGAAAGATTTTCAACTTGACTCATTATGTTTGAAATGAAAGCTAAAATTACATTGAGTCATCATTTCTCTCATCTGTCAGATTGGCAAAAAATAAAAAAACTTAAAAACGTTTTCCATTGGTAAGTCTGGCAAAGCACCCTGTCATAAATTACTGGGAAGGGAATGTAATTGCTAAGACTAAATGGGCATATTTACATGTGAACCCCGCAGTTCCCCTTTCAGGTGTTTACACTGAACATATACTGATTCTCATCATCCAAAATTATAGATGTACAAGGTTACTACTGTTGTGTTATTTGCAATTGCAAATATTCTAGGCATCCTGGATTTAACTTTTAAGTTGCTGTGAACAACACAAAGGAGATTGGTTGAGTAAACTTAGTACATCCACACAGTCGAGTAGTAGGCAGGAAAAAGTGAGCATGATCTCTGTGAACTGATAGGGAGTGATTCTCGGGATATATTGTTAAGTGAGGAAACCTGAAGTGCTAAACAGTATCTGTGTGTAGTAGGTCACTTTCCATTTATGATAGAATTGGAAATTAAAATGATTTGTTTTCCAAAACAAACACAAAACGAAACAAATACATGTATTTGCTCATTTCTATATTGCACACATGAGAGATAAATCAGAAAATAATGGCAGGATGGATGGAAATAGGGGAGAAAGGATGGGGAGTGACATTAAATTATATTAATGTTTACATGTTAAAATCAAGACCGAGGGAAAACCTTTAAGATAAAAACAAATTAACCCATATTTCAAATGAATAACTTTTGAACATGGTATTTTGACTATATATCTTTAGTCCAGTAACAAATAGTTGTAAAGTACTGAATTTTAGTGTGTTTTTTTTGGCAGTCATATGGGGTAGCAGTTCTGACACCAGTTTCTCAATATTTGAGGAATCAATAAGTCCATTTGGAAGATAATGGGAGTCTGATGTCTACTGTAAGGGGGAATCTAGAATTGCGGTCATTAGTATGAACCGAGCATTTTCTTACTACTTTTAGAAATGTGTGTGTGTGTGTGTGTGTGTGTGTGTGTGTGTGTGTGTGTGTGTGTGGATTTGTGGATTTGTGGATTTCCTAGCTCTGTCCTCTGGGACAGCTTCTTGTTTTTGTTTTGAGAGAGAGAGGGAAGGGGAAGGGAGGGAGGAAGGGAGTGGGGAAGAGGGACAGAGGGAGAAAGAGAATCCCAAGCAGCCTTCTGGCTCAGCATGGAGCCCCACTTGGGGCTTGATCCCACGGCCCTGGGATCATGATGCTGGCCGAAGACAGAGACAGACCATTGCAAGCACATCGTGCTCTCAGGTTAGGCTCTAGAACCAGACTGTTGTTGCTGTAAAGGGTATTATTGCAGTAACTGGCAAAATTTGAATAAGGTTTTGTAATAGATAGTAGTGGTGTTACTAGTTTCCTGATTTTGGCAATCTGATTGTAGTTATGAGAATGTTCTTGTTCTTGGGAGATGCATACTGAGGTATCTAGAGGTAAAGAGGCATCATGTCTATAACTTATTGTCAAATAGTTGAGAAAATTCATATATATGTACATATGTAGAGAGAGGTGTGTATATATAAATACATAGAGAAAGGGGAGGTAGGTGGGAGGGATAGGGAATGACAAAGCATATGTGGTAAAATGTTAAGAAATGGAGAATCTGGATATATACTTTTTATTTTATTTTTTTACTATTCTGGAAATTTTTATGTTAAGTTTGAAATGATTTCTAAATAAGGTGAAAGAGTAAAATAATGCCAAATTCAAATAGAACCCTTAAAAAAGGCTGTGCTGGTATATCTTCCCCAGCAGTGTGCAAGAGGGTTTCCCCTCCAGCAGGCAATGGGTGCTGCCACTGCCCCCAGTCCTTTGTACTTGGAGAAACTGCGGTGGGGTCGGGGGCTATCCAGCTCGGTCGTTCTGTACTGTGTCTGTCATTCTGTAATGTTGTATCTGGCTCTTTATCATTTTGAGCTCAGGTGTAAATTTATCCCTGCAGGTTGTCGACGAGCGAGAATTTTTTGAGATCATGCCCAATTATGCCAAGAACATCATTGTTGGTTTTGCAAGAATGAACGGGAGGACTGTTGGAATTGTTGGCAACCAACCTAAGGTGGCTTCAGGTAGGTACAAGAGGCTCTCACAAACCTCAGGTGGCAGTTGGGGGCCATGGCTGCGGGGTGTAGTGTCTGCCTTCTGCCTTTTCCTCAGATGAGTCTCCATGGCCAGAGAAAAAACTCAGGGAAATATTGTTGTAAAAGCTCTCTTCTTGGGGTGCCTGGATGGCTCAGTTGATTAAGCATCTGACTCTTAATTTCTGCTCAGGTCATGATCTCAACTGTTTGTGGGATTGAGCCCTGCTTTGAGCTCCTCTCTCTTCCTCTCTCTCTGCCCCTACCCATGCACTCTTGTGAGCACTTCTCTCTCTCAAAAAAAAAAAAAAAAAAAAAAAAAAAAATTTCTTTTTTAATTGTTCATAACTCACAATGCTTCTCTCATAACTTTATTTTTTAAGGGTTTATAGACAACTTTCTTCAGCTTAAGATGGTTTTTACATTTTCAGAGGTCTGCTTTCTGTCTCCCCTAGTTAGATTCATGTCTCGCCCCTAAACTATGAATTCTGTGAGGGTGGGGGTGTTGGTGTCTTATTCGTAGTTTTAAATCCACTGTCTTCAGTGGTATCAGGTACAGCATCTTCCTGTGTCTTCCAGTGACATGGCCAGAGCTGAGCTACAGCCAGGTCAGGGGCACTCTTCTGTGGTTGTGCCCTGGGTGTGGCTGGAGGTGTGGGATGGGGACTATAGACACTGCTTTCCTCCTATTTCCTGTGTAGGTTTGTTTTGAATACTGTATAGGAGAAATATGCACTCCCTTACTGACCCAGACTTATCTTTTATGTCTGTCATGGCAATTTTTCCTTTTCTTTAGAAAAAAAGTTTTTTTTAAAATTTTTTTTTATCTTGGTAAAACATGTGTATAACAAAGTTTGTCATTTTAACTATTTTTTTTTTTTTAATTTTTTTTTTTCAACGTTTATTTATTTTTGGGACAGAGAGAGACAGAGCATGAACGGCGGAGGGGCAGAGAGAGAGGGAGACACAGAATCGGAAACAGGCTCCAGGCTCTGAGCCATCAGCCCAGAGCCCGACGCGGGGCTCGAACTCACGGACCGCGAGATCGTGACCTGGCTGAAGCCGGACGCTCAACCGACTGCGCCACCCAGGCGCCCCATTTTAACTATTTTTAAGTGTATAATGTAGTGGCATTAATTACATTCATACCGTGTGCTGCCATTACCACTATCTTCCAAAAATTTTTCAAGTAGAAATGGCTCCCTTTCCACCCTGCCCCTGAGTCCTTGGTAATCTAAGTCTCCTCTCTATGAATTTACCTGTTATAGATATTCCATGTAAGTGGAATAATATAGTAATTGTCCTTTAGTGTCTGGTTCCTTTTACTTAGCATATGTTTTCAAGGTTCATCTATGTTGTAGCATGTATCAGAACTTTATTTTCGGGGCGCCTGGGTGGTACAGTCGGTTAAGTGTCCGACTTCAGCCAGGTCACGATCTCGTGGTCCGTGGGTTCGAGCCCCGCGTCAGGCTCTGGGCTGATGGCTCAGAGCCTAGAGCCTGTTTCCGATTCTGTGTCTCCCTCTCTCTCTGCCCCTCCCCCGTTCATGCTCTGTCTCTCTCTGTCCCAAAAATAAATAAACGTGGAAAAAAAAAATAAAAAAAAAAAATAAATAAAAAGAACTTTATTTTAACTTTCATGGCTAAGTAATATTCCATTGTATGTATATACCACATTTTGTTTACTCATTCATCTGTGATGGACACTTGGGTTGTTTCCACCTTTTGGCTATTGTGAATAATACTGCAGTAAACATTGGTATACAAGTATCTGTTTGAATCCCCGTTTTCAGTTCTTTTGGGTATACACCTAGCAGTGGAATTGTTGAGTCATATGGTAATTTTATGTTTTTGTTTTTGTTTATTTTTTTTAAGAAACATCATACTGTTTTTCACAGTGGCTGCACTGTTTTCTCAGTAACAATGCATGAGGGTTCCACTTACTTTACACTGTCGCTTGAACTTGTTATTTTCAGGTATGTTTTGATAATAGCTATCATAATGGGGTGTGGAATATTTTATCATTATGGTTTTCATTTAAATTTCCCTAATAATTAGTGATGTTGAGCATCTTTTCATGTGCTTATTGGCCATTTGTATATCTTCTTTGGAGAAATATCTATTCAATTCCTTTGTGCATTTTTAATTGTTTTTTGTTGAGTTGTATGAGTGCTTTATATTCTGGATATTTATTAGGCCTTTATCATCTGTGTGATTTGCATGTATTTTTTCCCATTCTGTAGGTTGTCTTTTCACTTTCTTGATAATGTCATTTGATGCACAGAAGTTTTAAAATTTGATGAAGTCCAATATACAATTTGTTTGTGTTTGGCGGAGTACCTGTTGACAAATCCAACATCATGAAGCCCCTCCCTGTGTTTTCTTTTAGGAATTTTATGCTTTTAGCTTTTACATTTAGGCTTGACCAATTTTGAGTAAATTTTTATATATGGTGTGCATTAAGGGCTCAACTTCTGATTCTTTTGCGTGTAGAAATCTAGTTATCCCAACACCATTTGTTGAATAGATTGTTCTTTCCCTATTGAATAGACTTGGCGTCCTTCTCAAAAATCAAGGGGCTGTAGATGTATGGGTTTTTTTCTGGACTCTTAATACTATTTAAGTGGTCTGTTTATGTTTATTCACATGCTGGTTTTGATTACTGCAGCTTTGTGTAGTAAGTTTTAATATCGGTAAATGTGTGTCCTCTCATGTTCCTTGTAAAGATTCTTTTGACTTTTGGGGCTCCTTGCAATTCCAAATGAATTTGAGGATTGGTGTTTCCATTTCTGCAAAAAAGGATGTTGAGGTTTTGATAGAGATTGCATAGAATCTGCAGATCACTTCAGGTATCTTTCCATTTATTTTGGTCTTTTAATTCTTTTGGCAGTGTTTTATAGTTTTTAGTGTATAAGTCTTTCACCTCTTGGTTAAATTTACTTTTATGTATTTTATTCTTTTAGATACTATTGCAAATGGAATTGCTTTCTCAATTTTCTTTTTGGAATGTTCATTATTAGTATATGGAAAGATGACAACACAACTGATTTTTGTTTGTTGATCATGCAACCTGCAACTTTGCTGAGTTTATTAGCTTTATGAGCTTTCTTGTGGATCATGTTTTTTGCAAATAGTGTTTACTTCTTCATCTCCAATTTGGATACTTTTTATTATTTTTTTCTTGTCTAGTTGCTTTGGCTAGAACATCTAGCACATTATTGAATAGCATTGGTGAAAGCAGGCATCCTTATTTTGTTCCTGATCTTAGGGGAGGAACTTTGTCTTTGACCACTGAATATGATGTTAGCTGTGGGTTTTTCGTAAATGCCTTCATCATGGTGAGAAAATTTCCTTCCATTCCTAGTTTCTGAGTACTTTTTTTTTTTTAATGAAAGGTTGATAGATTTGTATACCTTTTCTGCAACATTTGAAATGATCATGTAGTTTTTGTCCTTCATTCTATTAATGTGGTGTATTGTTTGATTTTTTTCTACGTTGAACCACTTTTGCTTTATTGGAGTATATCTGAGTTGGTCATGGTATATAATCCCTTTGGTAAAATAAATTTTATTTTTTGGAGCTCTTTAAGTTTCAGAGCAAAATTAAGTGAAAACTGCAGAGTTCCCATAATACTCTATCACACATACACAGCTTACTTCACTGTCAATATCCTGAACCAGAGTAGTATATTTGTTACAATTGATGAATGTACATGGACACACCATAATTACCTTAGGTATGTATTCACATTAGGGTTCACTCTTGGTGTTATATATTCTCTGGGTATGATAAGTGTATAGTATGTAACCCACCATTGCAGCATCATAAAAAATGGTTTCACTGCCTTAAAAGTCCTAAGTGTTCCACTTGTTCATCATTCCTTTCTCCCAACCCTGATAACCTAGTAACCCCTGGCAACTACTGATCCTTGTACCCCTCCCATAGTTTTACTTTTTCTAGAATATCATATAGTTGGAGTTAGAGTATGTAGCCCTTCCAGAGCAGCTTCTTGCACTTAGTAATATGCATTTAAGCTTCCTACATGTTTTCTCATGGCTTGATAGCTCATTTCTTTTTAGTGTTGAGTAATATTCCATTGCCTGGGTATACCACACAGTTCACTTATCTGTTCACCTCCTGAAGGACATTGTGGTTGCTTCTAAGTTTTGGCAATTATGAGTAAAGCTGCTGTAAATGTCTGTGTGCAGGTTTTTGTGTGGACATAAGTTTTCAGCTCATTTGGGTAAATGCCATGGAGTATGCTTGCTGGCTTGCATAGTATGAGTATGTGTAGTTTGTAAGAAACTGCCAAACTGTCTTCCAGAGTTGCTGTACCATTTTGCATTCCTGCCAGCAAGGAGTTACAGTTCCTGCTGCTCCACATCCTTGTCTGGATTTGGTGTTGTCAGTGTTCTGGATTTTGGCCATTCTAATAGGTGTGTAGTGGGATCTTTTTTTTGTTTGTTTGTTTTTCACTTCACTTGTAAGTATTTAATGAATCTCCCTCCATGTGGCTTCAAGCTACCAGGACACAGGTGCCCTTGGGCCCCCCCCCCCCCACACACCCTTAACCTTCTCCTCAGCAATTCTACTGAAGAATTTGGCCCTCACGATGACAGGCTGTTTGGGGAGCTTTCCCTTTCCCAAAACTTTGTATTAGCATGAATGCACCACATCAATGATAGGAACAAGTCCAGTCTTGTTTTTGGCAGCATTACCCGTGTCTGCTGACTGACCAGGGTCCACAGTTTAATCAAGGTTGACAGTTGGGTAGAATATCTGGTTCCTTTTTAAGTAGTAATGCCTCATACCCGATTTTCCAAAGTAACCTGGATGATATTTGTCAAAGTTGATCCTGTGATGATGCATGCCACCAGCATTACCCCAGCCTCCTGGGTCCTTCCAGTGCTTGCTGATGCTGCTGTGGCTGTGGCTTACATGACCCCCAAGTTTCCAGGTCTTCCTCAGTCTGGATGGCATGTCAGCAGTCCA